ACCTACCTACCTACCTACCTACCTACCTACCTACCTACCTACCTACCTACCTACCTACCCACCTACCTACCTACCTTCTTAACTACCTACCTACCTACCTACCTACCTACCTACCTACCTACCTACCTAACTGCCTGCTCCTGCCTGCCTGGCTGCCTGCCTGGCTGCCTGCCGACCTGCATCCATACATACATGCATGCATGAGTACGTATGTCTTCAGATACGTCCATGCATGCATGCATGCATGCATGCATGCATGCATGCATGCATGCATGCATGCATGCATGCATGCAGTTCAATGGAGGCACGATGTGCGTTGTGGCTTTGGTCTCTCAGGTTACGATCCTGGCCTCGTTCATGTTATACATTTGCGCGGTCATCCTCGTCCGGGCATATGGACGCAGCACTCCTGAAGACGACCCCTATCATGATTTCTTCATTTCCCACTTCGGACACTCAGCTCAAAGGTGCTTTAGTGTAGGATGTGTGCCAGAAATCGGGCGACAGTCCCGCCATGCCTCCTGAGGCAGCATACCAATGACCATGTTCGCTTTGTTCGAGCTCATTACAGCCCCTGACTTGGCACCCTACCGCGTTCCTCGTTTGCAAGCGGATGGCAGCGCGGGACAGTCGTACCTCACACAAGAGAGCGAGCTCGCCGGACAGCAACAGACGATGGAGAAACGGAGAGCAAGGGCGACATGTCAGTGCTCACTTGAAAAAAGAGTTTCCAAGCAAGCTTGCAGAACTTCGGTCCAGAGTTCACAAGGTGTACCTAAACATCTTGCCGAACCCAGGAAGCGATGTTCGCCAATCCTCCCCTCGTCGTCTTTCTGGTTGTGTTCATTATCTTGGGCAGCTTCGGCATCAACGGTCTTCTCGTGGCCCTCATCAACGAGAGCATTCTGGACCCATGACTTGATGTGCAAGAGCCAGACAAACAGTCCATCTCTTTTTTCTTTCTTCTCCCTCGCTCTCTCTACCGACAGCCTCAGCAAGTCTGTAGTCATTTGGCCCCAAGGAGAAGAACCAGGCACGCATCGAAGCGGACCGAATGGACCGCGAAACAAAGCGCAAGACCATGCAGCAGCGCTGTGGGGAGCTCTTCGACGAGATGGACGTGTGCCTCGGGCTTTTCTTGCGCGAATGTGCAACCCAGAATCCTCAAATCCTAATCTGAGGAACAGGAACCGCGTACTGCCTCGCGACGAGATCAAGCAATGCACGGAGCAGATTGCAGAGCTTCTCGAAAGCTATGGTGTGAACTTTCAGCGAGCAGATTTGGACCAGATGTTCTATGTCATGGACTACAGTGACACAGGCAGGGTTCATGTCCTCATCGCAGAGGTGCTGATACTCGTCTTGAAGTTCTGAAACAGGCATCATCGAGCGGTCCGAGTTCATCCAGGGTGTGGTGGGGCTGTGCGATCAGATCCGGCCAATGTCCATCATGGAGCTCCACTATCAGGCCGGGGCCTACACCCCGCGTTGAGTTGCAGTTTCGGATTTCGCACAGAGAGACAGAGCGAGCCACCGAGCGATCGTAGATGCCCCTACGCCCACACACACTAAACTCAACTGCACAAGCTCAGCTGTAGGTGCTCTTGCCAGGCCGTGGTACTGCTGTGCCTACCCCATTTATGGAATCCATGCCATGCTGTTGCTGCCAATGTCAATTGCGGCATTTGTTACCGTTGTAGTCTTTGCTGAATTGGTGGTGCTGATGCTGATGAAGCTGATAGTGATGATGGTGATGCCGCCGGCTGACCTTGCTGCTGATGGTGCTGCTGGCGGCTCGCGACCTCTGGGCCGCGGTCACTGTCCACTTGGCGTAGTTACTTTCCTACTGTTTTGTAGGCCAGCATCAAGATCATGATCGCTGGTTGGCATGGAAATGATAATGATGCTGGTGCGAGCTTCGCGGTGTGGATTGATGATGTTCAGCATGTGTATTTCTACATGTTCTGATGTTGTCTTGCCGGATGTGCAAGGTCTGCTGCGATGTCGTCATTCCTGTCGGCCGTTTGCATTTAGTTCTGCTATCCGGACGATTTGTTGGCGCTGTTGTTCATCTGTTTGATTAATTATCAATGATTGCCATCCTTCGTCTGAGAATTGTCGCTGTAGCCCAGCTGGTCATTGCCGAGGTTGCATGTCGAATGGTTTCTGCTTTCATTGTGTTGTTGCAGAAGCAGCAGTAGCAGCAGTAGCAGCAGCAGCTGAATCAGCAGCAGTAGTAGCAGTAGCAGTAGCAGTAGTCGTCGTCGTGGTGGTGGTGGTGGTAGTAGTAGTAGTAGCAGCATCAGCAGTAGTAGCAGTCGTAGCAGCAGACAGGATCAGAGCTTGGGTTCACAAGTAGCAGCAGCAGTCGTCGTCGTCGTTGTCGTTGTCGTTGTCGTTGTTGTTGTTGTTGTTGGTGGTGGTGGTGTGTTTATTGCTGTCGTTGTGGTTGCTCTCTTTTGCTACTGACTGAGCTGGGCTTCCTGCGCAGGTTTCAAAGACCTGCGGCAAAGTCGACCAGACTGAGCTAAAGGTCGATGGACTGGCTAAGACGGTCGAAGGCTATGAGGTCAAGATAGCCCCTGGGCAAAGATGGCTGCATGCATCAGATGGCATAGCAGCATAAGGTACGAAATCGTTGTGTGCAGAACCGGATTAACGATGCAGTGTCCTGTAGACGTCGTTGTTGAGCCTTTTCCTATGTTGTAATGCTGCCTGCGACGGCAGCTTTGATTACAGCCTGACCCTCGGACCAGTTCTTAAACTCTAACCGGAGGCAAAACCCCACGTGTAGCCTAGTTGAGCCTTCATGTCACGGCTCACCCAAGGACAGCGTGGAGTCCTCCCTGAAGCGGCTCACGGACCACATGCCCAAGTCCACTTCGGCTGCCAGCCAGGGCTCCAACTCGAGGTGGCTCGCCTTCTTTTCGCCTCTTCCTAGCGAATTTACAACTATTTCTGACGCCATAGGACCATAGGAGATACTGGGATACTGATAGAACAAGTTCTGGTAATTGGTCGCTTGAAGCGAAGGTCCCTCAACAAGAACCTGGGCTCAGGAGCCAGGATCCAGTAGGTGCAACCAGTTTTAGAAGAGGCTCGGGATAGCCCGGGTGCAACATGGGGCCTCAGGTTTCATGGTCTGGGGCTTGGGTTTATCTCCCACACTCTTCCCATGTAGGCGCACATGTCTGCATACATATATATATATATATATATGTATGTATGCATGGCCACAGTATGTAGGCTCGTCTGAGGGGGTTGGCAATATAGCGTCGTGAACAAGAAGCTCCGACGCAAGTTTGATGGGCTTGGGAAGGCTGCACTTCCGGATTTAGATCGAGAAGGCCGCATTTCTTTTCAGCCACCCGAGAAGCCAAAACCAAGCAAACCTCGCCCGGCCCGTCCCAGAGTGAGTGCCGAAATCCAAGTGTTGGCGATGACGTCCAAGCGTTTCGTGTAAGAAATCCTTTCTTGGGCTGTGGTTGTGCTGCTGTGGTTTCGCAAGGCGAACTTCCCGTGACTTGGACACGATCCAGTCGGTGACCTTCCATCAGGTGGGACGACGTGTTTGACGATCAGGAAGTGGTTCGTAGCATTTGGGGAAGAGGCTTTGTGGTCGGGATCTGCTGGTCAAGAGAGCACATGAGGGCATGTGCATTGGAGCCGCTCCTCGAACGAGAGATCAGGAAGCACGCTGCGCATCAAGTAGCACATGCCATCGCCGTCGATATGCACCTTGAACAAAATGCTTGGATGCACGTCCTGCCTGAAACAGGACGCGATCCCAGAATGGGAGGGCGAGGGTGATGCCGACGACATCTGGAGGGGTGCTGATGTGTGCTTTCCTTGAACTGACCTCCGGATGTGCGCGCGAGTGTGTTGCATGTCTCTCCCTGCGCCCACGAAATCCCTGAGATTGATTGTGGCGCTGCAGGAGCACTCGAGAGCGTGCAGACACTGCAGACATTGCAAGCCAGTCCGAACGGTCCAGAGAGACCAAAGCAAGGAGCCATGACAGCAACTAACGGTTACCTGTGTTCCACATACATTTGCCCTTGGCGACTCCAAGAAGTGACGAAGAAGTCTGCGCTGCCGATTTTGCCTGTTCGGTAACTTCCGCATGCTCCCTTTCGGAACGTGTTGATTACCCATGAAAGACTTCGTTTACATCTGCAGGAGCATGACCTGAAAGTCAGCATGTGTTGCTTGCAGCATTGCCTTTGGGTCAGCCGCGGGAGAAGTCGCTCGATCCTTCCTTCCAACGCCCGCATCGATGGCGGTATTCGTGGTCATAACAGAAGTGCTCGGAACCCCCTTGAGTGCTCTTCATCCTGGAGTCCAGAATCTGCACACCTCTACACTACACTACCCTTTTGGCCCTGAACCCTGAGATCCCCGAAGCTTGAAGCCCACAACCAAGGAGCCCCAGCAGCGACTGCGCCGGTTACAATGTCGCCCAGGATGACGTGGCAGCAAACCTGGCCGAAGCGCACAAAGACGAAGGTCGACCCAAGCATTCCATGAGCATAACTTGAGGGGCCTGCCCAACCCCTCCTCGAAGAGAAAACCCGGAGGTGTGTGTTTTCGTGCACAGAGCTAAGCAGCATAGCAGCTTACGAAGCATGTCAGAAGCCCCCACACTTCAGCAGCTGAGTCGAGACCTGTCTGGGCTTCGGCAGGCCAGGAGCTCCATGGCATGCTGGCCAAGCATGGCAAGCTGCTGACAGAGGCCCTCGAGGCTGTCCAGGCAAGGCCCCCCAGCGGGCGGGCGATCGTAGATGTAGACCACGTCAGTTGGTGCGGCGAGGCATTTACGCAGTCTGCCGCAACCAAGTCGCCCGGCAAGGCCGGATGCAGTTGGGGCGTTATGGCGCATGCGCGGTTTTGAGCGTTTAGGGCATTGGTCTGTCACAGGGCTTTCTGGACGTGGCTCCCTGAGAGGCCTCGAGGCTGACCAGCGTGATGCTGCAGCTGCAGCGTGCTAATGTCGATGTGCTGAGTGCTCTTTTGAAAGAAAATTCACAGTTAACGCCTGAGCCTGAGCCGGCTTTAAAGAAGCCGGCGGATGGTACAGTTATTGATGTGCAGTAGCAGCTTTCAACCAACTCTAGACATCCTTCTCGGAAATTGTAAATAGGAGGTCCTCTCCATCGTTTCACTGCAGTGAGAAGGATTGTATACAGTGGCCACCAGCTTTCCGGAGAAGTCCTTCCGGCTTCCACGCTTCACCGCGCTAGCCCGGCGAGAATACGCCCTTGCCTCCTCTACGCTCAGGAATGCATATCTAACCACAAGCATAGCATATAACATCTCATGCGCAATAACTTAACATATCTTAATTATACCTTATGTCTAGTACCCAGTGTCCACTATATACGAGCATCTTGTCTTGTATGTGCATCAATGTCTAACCGCAGACTTTCATATCAAGTTTGCATGTGTTTGTGGGTATATCTGTATACGCATGTATGTATGCATGTTTACGTTGATTAAGTTGCATTCTATTCTGTTCGTTGTTTTTCTGTTCTGGTATGCTATGTGACGGCATGTACTGTTTTGGTACGTTGTGCTATGTCATGTGTTGCTAATTATACTGTTGATGGAGAAAATTCTGCATGACCCAAATATAGTATAGTACCCTAAATCCCATAGTTTAGGTGTATAAGGTCATGCAGGATTTTGTCCATCAGCCGTATGAAACGAAGGAGCCAAGGCAAGTGGCGGCCCAGGAGCCCCGGCAGCCGAAGCTCTTGGTCGCAAGGCCGCAAGGGACTGCCCAAAGGCATTCCTTCCGCCTGCGCTGACGGGTCCCAGGGAAAGCCGGAAGCTTCGGAAAATCGAACGCAGAAAAAAGCGGACAGCGTTGGGGCCTTGGGGGACCTGGCAGAGGCAACCCGAGGCATGGCCTATTCTGAAAGATCGCACAGCAAGTCCATTTCCCCTACATTCCCCCGCATCTCGGTGGCTTTCCGCACGCGTATGATGCCCTTTCGCATTGTGGAAGAAGACTAGTAAGGCGAGCTTCGCCCTCAAAATACCGTAGTGATCCATCGGAATCTATGGAACTCGTATCAGTCCTCGACGTGCTTTGCCCAACATGTTCCAGCTTATCCACGCCATCGTCCAGAGTCTACGTCACATGAAGCGCTTTCTAGACAGGAGCCTTGAAGCCCTGCAGCCCTGGAGCCCGAAACACTACTGCAGCTAGGCCCGCCGCGGGCCGGACCAAACAGCAAGCCCAAACACTCCTTATTATCTTTCTTTTTGTTTATTTGCTTTGTACGCCTTTGATATCCTTTGGCCAGGACCTCGCAGTAAGCGGCGAAGAGCAGCACTCGTCGGCCACACGTCGAACAGGGGCAAAACTGGCTTTGCCTGCACGTGAGCCAATGTTGTTTCCCAGACCACTGCAGCTTCGCTTCTTTGGTGTGGCACGTGTGCTCCAGAAACAGGCCTTCGCGTCTCGAACGTGGTCACGAAAGCTGTGTTGCTAGTGTTTCGTTCAGTGACATGAATTGGTAGCGGGCATACACGCGATTATCAGCAAAGCCGACAAAAACAACTTATTTGTTTAGCTGCAGAAAATATTTACAACAACTCGTCAGCACCATCTTGTTGTTCGATCAGGGAACCGGCGATGCCGCCGAAAGCAAGGACTCGGAAGCAGGCATGGAGCCAAAACGACAATGCTTGGTTTGCCGAGGAGGCTTTTGCTTGTCGTCTGAATCGCCCCAAAGCCAACCGACTTTGGCATTCTGCCAGCCAAGTGGAAGGCGAGGTGAGCCTTCAGCTCACCCGCAACTACAACCAGCACTGGTCAAGGAAATAGGCAGTAGATGAATTTGTACAAAACTGGGTCGACCAGATAGAAAAACTGGCAAAGACAATTGCTTGCAATGGCGAGCCCCTGCAGAGCACGTGTGGTGGTTTCATTGCCGTCATGCAACGAGACAGTGTTGGATAGCAGCTCTACTCAACTTGTCCCACGGTGATCCAGGACGCGAAACAGGAACCATATTGGGCACACTTCTCTTCGACGAGGAAGCGGGAATTCTTGAATTGTCAAATTACGAAGCCATTCTTCCGGTGCGCTGCTTCTTGCTTGGATATTCAGGCGCAGACAAAGCGTTTGCAGAAGGCGATGTGCGAGGTAAGTTTGGTGATGGGCTGCCGTCCTCGACGATTCGCTTGGTCGCTGATGGCGTCAGCATCAGCATCTGGACAGGAAGTCAGAAGTATGGCAACTTCAGCTTCAAAACGGACCCAAACTTCTTGCATGAGTGCTTGCACATGTGTGTTAGCCATTCCACTACACGGACCTCGCCCTTGGCAGCTCATTTCAGATTTGCCAGGTTTTATGCCTATCAGCGGCATTCTGCGCAGAAGCGATATCTTCAGTACAACTGGCCCGTCGCGGCAGGGTTCAAGGACACGGTGGTGCAACTGGCCGGCGTCACTGAGCAAGATTTCGACACTCGCCGGTACATTTTTTTGCATCCCGTCCTCATTCAATCCTCATGTGTGCAGAGCTGCATCTCTGATGGGTTCGCAGACGTGATTTTGGATTCTGGCTTTGAGGGCAAAATCTATGTGAAGGATATACTGGCACAGGAAGTTGTTAGCTCACATAGACCACGATATGGCTACAATTTGAAGCAGTTCAGTGTAAAATCACGGGATCGGCAAGATACTCTTTGCCACGACGAGTTGTTGCAGCAGATTGCTATGGCCTGGTCCAAAGTTTTGCGGCCGGCAACCCCCGTGGACCTGAGTTTCTTGCGAGGGAAGCTTTATGACGCTCTGAACGATCATCCTGATAGTTCGGAAGCGGTTTCGATCTGCCACGCTCGTCGTGCTCCAGTGGATCATCTTTGCAGGCATCTGCAGGAGGAAGTTCAGGCCCGGCATGGCAAGGCTGGCTTTCCTGTGGTGAATGAGGATGCGGCGACACGTAAAGTCATAACAGACAAGCTCAAGAAGTCTCCTGTGCTCATCAGCAGCAGACTTTGTGGCTGCCTGGCCGCCGCAGATGCGAAGTGGGCCTGCTCACCCGAGCAAGCTTGGCATGCAAAGCGCTTGAAAGCAGTTCGGCATTGTGCAGCAGCAAGCCTTGATGTCGAACCCTTTCCGACCATAGTTCGAGTTCTGGAAGCGTCAGTTGGCAAGGTTCATGCACTACCGAAACTTAAACTGGTTAACGCCACCATGCTTGATGAGGTCGCTGTGCTCGATTGTGCTGCCCCCGCTGCCTTCGAACTGAGCGGTTTCGAAGCCGCAGGCCGAACACATTTATGTGGTATCTACGAGGAGCACGAGGACTGTCTCGGAAATGGCAAGACAATCTTTAAGAAGCGAGGGGCATCAACAGAATACATCTACATTTTTTGGACTTCTCGGATGTGGGTACTGACGTTTGAACCGTTGGAATACTTGCACCGCTGCACCGAGCCATGCAGGTATGCAAGCTGTCATCAGCAGAGCTGGTGGGCCGAGACCTGCTGCGACTGGGATGTGTGGGTTGCCGAGGATGATGCATGGCGTGACACTGCCGTGACTATCAAACCTGTTGGCAGCTCCGGAAAGGGACGGATGAAACAGTCGAAGCTTATCCTGAATGCAGCGGCCATCAGGGGCCTATTGCATCCAAGCAGAAACGAACATGGAAAGCGTGGCAGTGCGTCGACTTGGGTTGTCCGATTTTTCAACACACTCTTCGATACCGTGCTTCAAGATTTCATTCATGTCGCGAAGCTGCAAGTCTCGGCTGCCGGAGAGCGAGAATCACGGGAAGCCCTGATGAAAGAGATGATGGACCTTGATCTACACACTTTTCAAAGACATGTTGACAAGCTACATGGAGTTGATAGAGCTTCCACTGTCAGACGACGCCTCACGGCCTGGCTGGAAGGAGAGAGCGATGAAGAGGGCACAGGCGACCAGGTAGAGCAGCAGGCGCGGCAACTGATTCGAGAGCAGATCGACCTTGGGGTCCTGCGAGTCAACCCAAAATACAACGACAGCTTGGCCTGGGTCGGCGATGCAGTCTTGGATGCCTCTCTTGGCCTGCTTGGAGTGGAGAGTGGTTTGCGGCCCAGAGAGCTCGATCAGCTGCGTCAGAGACTGTTCTGCACAAAGCGCATGGGTTGTGATGTTAGTGCCCTCGGCTGGAAACGGATACGAGAGGCCGCGGAACGTCGAGAGCAGAGAGTTGGGGAGCTCACCATAGAGCAAAGAGCGGAGTTGACCCAGATTTATGATCGGATCCTGAGCAATGCCACTGTTCCCCGTACGGAAGACCCCACGCGCGAACGTTCCTTCATGTCCGAGATCAGGATGTCTGTCAAGGAGGCTCGCACATCCGCCTCCAACATCGCAGTTCGAACGAGCGAGTGGCAGGACTATGGTGATGGTGGTTGGTATGCAAGCAAGACAGAACCGACCAAGGCAACGATGCAACATGTACTTCAAAGCTCGCGGTTTGTCATGGGTTTCTTCGTGGCACATGCCGGCATGGACCAGTCAGGACTTGCGGCAAAGCCCATCCTTGTAAGTTTTATCAACAGGGTGCTTGCAAGCATGGCAGCCATTGCCGCTTTGACCACGTGTCCTGTCCAGAGCTCGCGTGGTGAGAGGGTCAGACCGAATCACAGGGTTCCGGCCTTTAGGCTTCAAGATATCCTGAACTTCTGAGGGCTTGCCAACGGCTTTTCTCCGAGGATGAGCCTCCAGCAACCCCATGACAAAGGAAGTTCGTCTTGCGCAAGCATTCCGAGCCACTAGTGGCCTACGGAGTTGTTGGGTTGGCCGGGGTCAGCTTCGTCAGTTTCTCAGGGCACTCCGCCATGCTCATTGCTGTAATGCTATGTAATGCTGACGTCCTCATGAACAGAGCTTCCTGATCTCAACCTGTGAATATCTTAAAGCATGCAAAACTCGGGAGTCTTTGGCCGCCGGAAACTTTCGGCCCGTAGGGGGTGGGGAACCTAGGGTTCTCGCTGTAGGCCCGGATGGAGGCGTGAACCGGAAGGGCTTCGCAAGTATATGTCAGTTTCCGTCCCAGTGTTTCATCTCTACGCCCATTGCTCCCGTGTGTGGGGGGGCTCAGTAGAAGTTTTTGTCTGACGTTCTACGCGACTAGCGGTGACCAGCGACGACAAAGAGTGTGAAGAAGCGAATAGGTTTCATTGACTGACTATCGCGCTGACATGCGCTGACCTAGATTTTTCTGTATAGACTCTGACATGTCCACGTATAGCGATATAGCTTATATTGACACACAGATAGAGGCCAGCTCTGATGAGCCATTGAAGCCTTGTGGATCGATGAGGGCATCAACTTTAAAATGCAGACTATCCGCGCGCACCGGCAGGCCGACGCGACGAGCGGGAAGATGGCGAAGGCTGCACCGGATGCGAAGATGCCGGGAAGCCCGGAAACCAGTCTGGACGGCCTTCTTCTTCGTCTGTGGCCGGTGTGGGCACGTTCATGTATGTGCTTGGCACTCATGTGTACATGTAGAATGCACACGTACATGCACAGATACATGCTTGCATACGTATCTGCATGAGATGCTAGCATGCCCGAGCCGCCCCGCGGTGAGTCAGTCTTACCCACCGCAAAAGTTCAGATTCAGTTCTTGCTGGGAGTGAGGCATGGTGTGCTACAACGCCTTACAACGCTCTCCAGAAGTGACTTGCAAGGACAATGGCCAAGCTACTGCGCGGGCTGGCGAGCTCTGGAGACAAGGCCGGACAAAACAGCGGATGGCATACCTCTGCCGTCACGGGCAGAGAGTACCAGCAGCAGTAATTGCAGTAAGTAGTAGTCGTCGTCGTCGTCGTCGTCGTCGTCGTCGGAGTAGTAATTAGTAGTAGTAGTAGTAGTAGTAGTAGTAGTAGTAGTAGTAGTAGTAGCAGTGGCAGTAGCAGTAGCAGTAGCAGTAGCA